TGCTGCTCATGCTGTAGCCGCCGCCGCCTCCCATGCCGAGACCTCCGCCCATGCCCAGGCAGCTGCCGCCGCCGCCGTAGCCCATCCCGCTGGAGCTGCTGACCACAGCTGCAGGGAGACACAGCACGCACCCGCTTTGGGGTCCTGCTGGCTGCCCAAGGTGGGGGGCCCTGCACCATCACCCCTGCGGTGAGCGGGGAGCGGGCAGGGGTGGAAAGGGGGGGAGATACTTACAGACGCTCACAGCTCCGACTCCCTCTCCGGCAAGCCTGTTGGGAAAGGGGAAAGTAAGCAATAACGCCACAGCACAGACAAGAAATAACAATAGCCACTGGGACCATCTAATTAGACTTTCGTGGCCTTCAGCAGGGACTTTGCTCTGGTGGGGTATGTCTGCATCACAGGTGAGAGGTGATGCTGTTCGTTTTTCTTAGTGCATCAGGTTCCAAGAGTGGGAGAAAGTCGTCCTACAAAGTTCACAATTTAAAGTAGCCCCCTTTCTGCCCTTGTTTTACATCTTGGTGCTCTTTTACGTCTTCACCAACTTGATGCTCCAGCCCGTTGAGGTGAGTGAGCTGCCTCTCTGAGCCCAAGGAGATGCACCCTGCTCTGAAAAGCAGCACAAAACAGGTCCAAGTGCTTGTCCTCACCTGCTCTCCTCTCCCTCCAGCAGCTTCCTGCAGGTCGCAATCTCGATGTCCAGGGCCAGCTTGACGTTCATGAGCTCCTGGTACTCACGGAGCTGCCGGGCCAGGTCTGCTTTAGCCTTCTGCAGGGCATCTTCCAGCTCAGCCAGTTTGGCCTTGGCATCCTTGAGGGCCATCTCCCCGCGCTCCTCCGCCTCGGCGATGGCTGCTTGGAGGTTGGCGCACTAAAAGCGAGGGGAATAGATAGTTGTTTGACTTGGGCTACCCCAAACTGCTCTCCTGAGTATTGGTATGGTATTGTAGATACTGGCTGGTGGCACCCAGCATGGCACTGAGAGCTCCTGATGGGCCATTGGGAACGTGCTGTAGGGTGAGTAACTGTGGTTCCGCAGCCACAATCCTGTCCCCCAAGAAAAGGAGAGACATCTACATCTCTTTGCTTTGCTACCTACCTTTGCTGGGGTGGCTTAGTAGCTCACAACTTGCTTCCCCAGCAAGAAAGCGGCTATCACAGCACATCCTTGCACTGTGAGGGACCTTTATGGTGGGCAGAGACAGAGGTGGCCATGCCCTCTTCAATGCAAGGGAGGAAGCTGGCTCTTTCCACCATGCCTGGTCACCATCACCTCCTACCTGCCCTCCACCATGCAGCAGCTGCTCTGCAGGGGCATCCCCTCCTACCTGTTTCTTCACGCTCTCAATCTCGTTCCGCAGCCTCTGGACCATCCGGTTGATCTCCGAAATTTCTATCTTGGTGTTACGCAGGTCATCACCGTGCCGCCCAGCGGAGACCTGGAGCTCCTCGTACTGGTATGAAGAAAGGAGAGCGCTGGTTAGGCACCACAGGGCTTAGAGAAGGGTGAAGAGACTTCAGGGCACAAAGTGCAGGTCTGGATGCAGGTTAAGGGTGGGGGACAACATTCCTCTGAGAAACCTGCCCGTGGAATAACCGTATTTGCCCCTAATTATCAATATACGCTAAGGCAGCAGCTATTGCGTTGCATGGAGCACCTATGGGTTGTCACCTACTGTTAAGAACCTG